AAGGGAATGTCTCTAAGGGTTAAAGCAGCAGATTTCTGAGGTGCAGAGAGAACCAGATTCACAGGTAACTTAATGGGGGGAGCTACATGGGAGACCCCTTGTACAAAAGGTCTTACTCAAACAGTGAGAGTCCAATGGCCTCAAATACAGAACAGACAGGGCAAAGAGCCAAAGGCTGATCCAGACCCAGCTGCAGGAAGAACAGGATTCCTCCCGCGGAGAAACTCCTAAGGTGAAAGCACCAAGACTCACACACAGTGAAGTATGCTTTCCATGTCCAATGATAGACCAAGCTAAAACTAGACTTCCTAGCTTTCTGCAAGGCAGGTTTAACCCACTCAGATACCCCCGTCCACCAGAACCTGAAGCCAGCAACTGACTCAAGATGGCAAATTAGTCCTTGGGACAGGAGATCCTGGCGATCTGTAAGAGTCCATGAAACGTCAGCCAGAAGGCTTACCAAGTTGCCGTACCAAAAGGTGTCTGTGCCAGTTCAGAGCAATCAGGATCACCAGAAGCCCTCCATCTTGTTCATACAAAGAGGGCATGGAAGACGTTTGAGGGAGGAAAGGCATAGATGGGGGACATGTAGGTAAGTATCTTTGATGTCCTCAGAAGCCACAGAATCTCCCTATTAAAGAGAGACTCCATTCTGAATGGGTAGACTCCATTCAGAATTTTAGGACTCAAATTTAGACATTCAGAGATTTGGAGATCCAGAATACATTGAATGCCCCCCCTATGGACTTGGCTTGGAAAGGGTGAACAGACTGGTGTAAAACAACTAGAACCGTTCTGCCACAGGAACTGGAGCAATGACACCTTGATCTAGAAGACCCGGGAGGGCTCTGGAGATCTGCTAATCTATTAGGTGACATAGAAAGGCAGCAACTGAGAAACTGAGGAGGGGGCAGGGAGCGAAACTCCAGCTTGTAGCCCTAAGTTACCACCTCAGCAATCAAGCATCTGAGATGTAAGCTGCCCAAGTGTCCGCAAAAGGTTCACATACGTCCTCCCACTCTGGAAAAAGTCAGAGGATTTAGCAGTTTGCATACCAGAACTTGCAGGTAGACAGGGATTTGAGCTGGGGGGGTGGGGGGGGGGGCGGTCTTATTGTAGAGGGACTGGAAAAACAAAAATGGATGTTTCTTAATTTGAGAAGGAGAAAAAAACTTTGCAATCTGTTCCGCTGAGGAAGGTTGGTGCTCTTGCCACCAGAAGCATTCTAGATGATGCAGTCTAGAACTGGTCAGAAGAGATGCAGTGGACCTTGTGGACCAAATGCTTATTATGCCAGGGTAGGGCAGTTCAGCACTTTAGCCAGTAGGCACAATGCACAAGCACAGACATGAGATGAATGCCAGCTACAGCCATCTGCTCTATGCATACTATAAGAGGAATCAGATGAAGGACGGGACCTGCCAGCAAGAACAGAGCTCTAGAAAGGTTTTCCACCTGCTGCAGGACAGGGACTAGAAATCTAGCGATATCTTGGGCTGGCCTACAGTTTGTGTTTGCCAGTGTCCAATCCTCCTATAAGCAGCAGTAAAACCCAAAAGGTTTAGGACTTCCCGTGTGCCCCAATGGACAAGAAAGGTTAAGCCCTCATTCACACAAGAAACAGCCGGCCCGTACAGATCCGTGCACAGGCCGTATTGGGCCGCTCCCGGGAAGGACAGGACTTCTCTCTGGGAGGACAGGATGGATCTCGTCTGCGTCCAAGCAGGGACACCCGCGCGGACGTGCCGTTCAAGTGAGCGTATGGCCGCGTAGTCCCATAGAGAAGGACGGGGGCTGCGTACTCATCACACGCAGCACCTGTCCTTCCCGGGACTGGCCCGATACGGCCCTGCACGCCGCATGGATCTGTACGTGCAAGGCCGTTATTCATGTCTGTACAGACATACACCTAAAAACCAACTGTCCTACATTGGATAAGGGACGATGAAAGGTAGTGTGATATACCTTTAGGTTAGCTCTCTGTCCCCATATGCCAATTTCCATAGAGCATGTGCAAATAAAGGAATCCTGATAACAGAATCACATTCACCCCCTTTATCCCCTCCCCCTCCCCCCCAGCAATCCCTGATTTCTATACTCTTAAAGCAAGTGAGCACTGCATTTCCTCCAAAGCGTCTATACAAGCTGAACTGTTTTTGTGAAGCAGGTTCTATAAAATAGGCGAGAAAACGGATCCACTTCTTGTTGCAGAGGCCTTTCCTGCAGGCACGAGGCCTTTCCTGAAGGCCCGAGGACACGTTATACAAGACCAAGCCTCAGCAAGAGGCTCTCCGAGCCAACGAAGGACGTCAGCTGACACGTCCCGCAGACCCCAGTTACCACAGAGCGGCAGCTGATTCAGAATCTGGCACCCCCAGGTAGCGTGCCTGTCTCTGCGGTCCCCTATCACCTCCACTGATTATAGCTCTGTCTGTGGCTTGTTCTGTAATTCTCCTGATATAAGAGGTGCAGGGCTCGACGTCTCCTGGCACCATCGCGCTGAGCACAAATAAAGACGCTCACTGTTCCAGTTCTAAAGAGAATGTTTAACCCAGCCGAGGACAAATTGCTGCACGGTAGCCGTTTTGGAACTACAAGTCTCACTGAGGGAGGGAGAAAGAGGAGAGGAGAGAGCGTACGCAAGAGGGAGGAGAGAGCGTACGCAAGAGGGAGGAGAGAGCGTACGAAAGAGGGAGGAGAGAGCGTACGAAAGAGGGAGGAGAGAGCGTACGAAAGAGGGAGGAGAGAGCGTACGAAAGAGGGAGGAGAGAGCGTACGAAAGAGGGAGGAGAGAGCGTACGAAAGAGGGAGGAGAGAGCGAGAGAGAGTGTACGCAAGAGGAAAAAGAGGAAAGAGAGGAGAGAGTGTACGCAAGAGGAAAAAGAGGAGAAAGTGTACGCAAGAGGAAAAAGAGGAGAGCAAGAGGGGAAACTCACAGATGGGAGGCACAGAAGAGAAGGGAAAGAAAGAGGGAGAAGTAAAAATGGTGCAAGAGGAGAGAGGGCTCAACAGAGGAGAGAGAAGAAGAAGAATCCCCATTTGGAGGTTAGGCTCTCTGTAATATTTCGGTACTCCAAAAGTTACGTGTTCTTGCCAACACCGAGGCTCCGTGGCTCATGGCCTTCCGAGTTTGCTCAAATCAAACGAGCAATAACCAAAGAGAGTTACAGACCTGCTTGGAAATTAACCAGCTGAGGTCCGGCCTTGTTCCTGAGACACGCGAACCCCCAATGTGTCAAATAAGAGCCTGCGTCACATCGATAAAATTAGACATCCTCCGAAAACCCTCCGACGGTATCACCGGGAGAGCAGCACCAAAAAGTGAACTTGGTGGCCTCACACCAGCTCGCTGCACTGGCAGGTGACCAAACCAAGCACATTTCAGGCCTGTTAAGTCAACAATAGGAAAACCAGAAGGAAAGCGGCCGGGACGGGAGACTACAGATCATTTCCTCCTGGGAAGGCAACAATCTGTTTTCGCTTTAAGCAGAAACCACTCAACGGCTTTTAGAAGAAAAAAGACAATTTGCAGATTAGGCAGACAGGTTCTCAGGAGGTTAGATTGGGCGATTACCGTCACATGGTCGTAAAGCAACCACAAAGTCAAAAACCGCAAAAGAGAAAAAAATAAATCTACATTAAAAAGGAGAACTATGGGGTCAGGGCTTTTCCCCATAGTTCTCCTCAGGGTCGCGGGAGGACACAAACTAGCGTCCTCCCGTCACCCTAGGCTCAGTATATAGAGAGCTACAGCTCGCGGTATACTGAGACGCCGCAGCCGGGACGGATCCCGACAATACTGTCTGGATCCACCCAGCTGCGTGAGTGACAGCCGGCTCTGCCTATCTAGAGGCAGAGCCAGCTGTACCCACCCCCTCCCCCGTCCGTTCCGCCAGTCAGCGCTGTAGGATCAGACAGGGGAGGGAGATCCATGCAGCGAGCCGTGAGTGACAGTCACGGCTCTCTGCACGGATAGATCGAGAAGTGAGCGAGCGCCGGTATGTGTTCGCTCACTTACCGATCTACTGAGCCGGAGTGTGACAGTCTCATTGTCACAGGTCGGCTCAGATTAGGAGGCTGAGTGAAAAGCACTCGACTCATAGTTCTCCTTTAAGGACATGTCAAGTTTCCCCAACCTCCCTCAGTGGAAGCCACCTACCTAAATACTTGCCCCTCAACTCTTCTCGTCTGTGCAGACCAGCCCAGAGACACCCAGGTCTTATGGCTACTCATGGTGGCCCCAGCCACCCAGAGGAGTACAAACCTGCTTTAGGAACAGATGGGGCCAAGCTATACATGGCCAGGACTTTATTTCTGCATAGGCTGTGAATCGACAAGACTACACAGTGAGCAACTTAAGAGCGGGGGCTGAAGAGAAGTATTTGTGTAGGTGGCGGCTACTGAGAGAGGTGGAAGGTTCAAGTTTCCCTTTAAAAAGGAAAAACCATCAGCACTGCAGGGATACAACAAGGTCAAGGGGTGGTTCTGTAATTGTCAGAACCCAGATGAAATAGCTGACACAAATTTCAGCTCAGCACTCGGGAAGTTACAGAGGATTTCTTGTACTTGCAGAAATTGCACTTGGCCTGAAACAGAAAACGAATGCAGCCACCACACCCGAGGACTCG